CCCAAAGTAAGTATTTTGCAAACTGTTTTATCTTTGACTTTATTTATGTCGGCAACTCAAATGTTTCAGAATCAAAATTTTTTCCGATGAGATTTTTTTCAGAGAAATACATAAATTGATTGCAAATATAATTTTTTAAAAATTTCAAAGACTTCTTAAATTATGTCAAAAAGATAAAAACGCTAAACCACATTTTTATTTTACAAGAAAGGGTAGGGTTTCAACTTAACTTTAAGACATTTTTTTAATATTTAAGTTTTTTTGGATGAAGTATCTGAAAAGTGCAAGTTTCTGAAAGTACAAAATGCTATTTATATTCTATTATATTCACAGATGCTAATTTACATTAAAATATAAAAATGTAAATATTTCTACTCAATGTTAAACATCTAAAAATAATTTAAAATAATTATTTAATTTTTTGCATTTTTCAAATCATCTTGCTCAAATGAGAGAGGAATGATTCTCCAATCACCTTGCGTTACTGGATTACCAGGTTTCCATGTGTATACGTATCTTCGACTATCATCATACGGCTCATAATCAGCAGCGTACATGTACTCATTTTGCTTCAAATTTCTAATTGTTTCATTTTGTATTTGCCAATCTCCTTGGTTAACAGCATTGCCAGGTCGCCAAGTAAAAACATTTCTTCGATCTCCATCACTTGACGGATAATCGGCAGCGTACAAGTATTCACCATAATAAACTCCATATATTTGGCAGTTGTCGTATGAACCAATGATTCGAAACAAACCTTGTTCATCTACCTTATTCTTTTCTCTCCAAGTAAAAACTCTTCTTCGATCACTATCATAAGCAAAATCGCCGTTGGCTAGGTACATGTACTCACTTTGATATATATTGTAAATTTGGCACAGCTGACCATTCATTGGCGCACATTTAACATAATTTCGATATTGTGAAAGAATTGCTCGTTGTTGAGCTGAAAGTTCAGTATGAAGACATCGGTATAATAGCCACCAGCTATCTCTATTTTCTGGTATGTCTGAGATGAAATCTAAAACTTCTCTACCGTTTTTAGGTAAATCTTCGTTTAAACACGCTTCAACAGCAGCACAAACACCATCCATGTTATTTAGTCGTAGTAAACTGCATTTCAACGTTAGCATTGTAGCCTTTTGAAGAGAAATCATTGAATAGTAATAACAATACATGGCCAGCCTGCTAGATTTCTTATCTTCATTTGCACTTTTATATCTTTGAATTTGATTTTGCAACGTAGCGAGGGCTTCTAATCCAGCATTCTCAAAATCCATCTGTGTCAGGTAAGATTTCTCACTATCACTCAAGATGCCACCGTTTGTTTTAGCTATAGCGTTTAGAGAAGTTAATTGTAGTCTTATTTTATCTGCTGAAGATATGATACCGTCGTAGATAGATTCATCTTTAAAATCTTCTAAAGCATCTTTAATTACATTGTAAACGACATCAGCCATTGAAGGACCTTTGTTTCCACCAAAGAGCGGAAGTATAGATGTTACTAGACCGCAAATTCCTGCAATCAAAGGACCCGCAGGTCCAGCCACAACAGAACCAATTGTACCAATTAAGCCAATGGCTCCCGAGGAGATATCTAAGACATCACCAGACGTAAATTTATCGAGATTATCAACAACGCTTTGCGCAATATCAACAACTCCTTTCGCACCATCAATGTACTTATTGTCATCAGCCTTCATGTTTTTTACGTCATTTTTTAGACTCTCAATTGTAGCAAGAACATTATCAGTATCTAGAGATGACTTCTTTACCTAAATATAAAAAAAAAGCGTTATGCATTAAAATAACAGTCATAAAACTAGTACTGAACTAACTAGTAACTAATGTAAATGTAACTAATGTAATGTAATGTAACTAATGTAAAGTAACTAGTATGAAACTTGACTCTTTTTTATTTTTTTTACGTAAGCAAAAATACGAAAATAAAAACAACAATTGAAACATCAAAAATATAAAACTATAGATTAAAAAAACATTCTCAAAGAATATATGAATAATTTGTTTAACTGCTGCTTTTAAACTTTAAATCTGTGGAATATCTCAAGACTTGCAAAATCAGTTTTTTGTCTCTTATCTCACTTCTCTCAAACTTCTTACAATTTTTGTTTTCAAAATTTTTAGACACATTAGAATAAATATTTTTTACATTTTTTGTGTTTCAGTGATAAGTCACACTTTATTAACTTTAGGCTCCTTGAAATCATCGCAATAGTTCTGAATTTGTGCATAATTTAAAATTGTTTTATTGAAAGAGACTTGCATTAATTAAAAATAGACTTATTGGTTTTTATTTTGATAATGAAATGTTTATTAAACTGCTTTTTTTCTTAATACTTTCAGCATGAACGTTAATGAAATATATAAGTTAAGGTTAAAATTCTTATTATTAACTTTATAATAAGCTACTTACTGTTTCCTCTATATTTGCCAAAGCATTCAATGCATCTTGCATCGCTTGATCGGAAGCCATTGCAAAAGATGATTTCTCTTTAACACTACAAAAAGTGATACCTCAACTATATCAAAATGACTGTTTGTACATTCTGTTTTAACGTGCTTTATATACCCAGTTACCGGAAACACGTTTTACCAAAGTAAATACTGGTGAGAAAAAAAAAACTTGTTTATAATGCAATAATGTAACGCCCATAAGATTTTTTCATTCGATATAAAACTTTTAACATTGTTCAAACTTTTGACATTGTGTAAACTTAAGTATGTTTATTCTTATGTCAAATGAGGTTGATTAAAAAACTTGGGCTTATTCATGAGCAATAAGTTAATAAAATATTTAGTGTTTGTTTTTTTATTCTAAAGAAAATTTTATTTTTAATGACCTATTAGTGTTCGAAAGTTACAACCACGTTAAAATTATATTTTTTAATATAAATTTAATGGAACAGGTCCCGATTTATCAATAGGCTGACTAAACATTTTATCAAACAATTTATCAATAGCCTAAGTTCTCACAATTTTGGGGGTCTCAAAAATGGCTTCAAAAATGTTTAAATTTGCAAGCATTTTCAGAGAACTATTTAAAAAAATAATTTCATGAATAATAACGTTTTGTAAAATTATTTGTACATTCATTATTTGATTGTACAAATAAAACGATTGAAACACTCTAAGTGCTTTGAAGACTTTTCCTCACAAAGAAATTCTAGAAGTAATATAGGGTAGAGCAGGACTAGTTAAGCATAGTGGCTATTTGAGCAATAAAAATATCTAAAAAACGAATTGCATGGCAAAACATCCAATGGATGAAAGTTAGGGAATTAGTATGATAACGCAATGAGTGACAAGTGGTTATTGAAAAATAGTGGAGTAAGCTGCACGAGCACTTTTTCTGTTTTAATATAAAAAATTAAAGTAAAATGGTAATGCTATATCTCTTTTTGATGCTAATAGCTTTTTTTATCTGCTATAAATTAAATGTTGATATTCTAATATTTTATCGGAACTTCGAATAATATTTGCTATTTTTCCTATATCCTATTGTTTTCTTTAAAATCTAAGTAGTATCTTGTAAAAGTAAGTTAAAAAGTATAAATAAAACGTATAAATAAAAAAATTTACATAATAACTTATTTTAATAAGGAAATTAAGTCGAATTAACTGCAAAGTAAAAGTTAATATATTCATTTGTTGTAAAATATACTTTTAAAATAAAAAAATAGACCGTCGTCGTAGTCGTAGTGATAACATATGTAACTTCTTGAATAATAAGTTAACAACCATAAGTCACATTAGGGGTCGTCCATAAACTACCTCACGCTTTAGAAGTAAGAGGGGGAGGGTTAGTGGTTTTGCGACAACTCATACGGAACTTGTCGTTAAATAATGACGAGGGAAAGAGTGTCAAAAGTTATCAAAAAATGCGTGACGTAGTTTGTGGACGACCCCTTAACCCATTTTATTACAAATATATAATTATAACATTATTTTCCAATTTTCATGAAATTGTTTTGAGCAGAATTGTTGATTTAAATTAGTTTTTTTTTTCAGTTCCCTGAAAACGTTTCGAACATAATTGTCAATATAAAAATGTTTTAAACAGAACCGTTGATATAAAATCAGTTTTGTTTTTTAAAAAACTGATTTTATATCAAAACTTTGACTGCTTTATCTTGCTTAACTTTATTTCATTACAACATCAGTATATTTACACTTCATAACGTTACAACTCTATCACATAATATAATGCAAAGTATAAAATATATAAAATATCATAAGAATACGTAATTTAGCAGTTACAACAAAATAAAACGTTAAATTCTTTTTTTGTATTTTATCATGAAAACTAACACACACACACACACACACACACACACACACACACACACACACACACACACATACACACACACACACACACACACACACTCACACACGCACGCACACACACACTCACACACGCACACACACACACATAACTGTGTTTGTTATAAGGTAATCAAAGATATTTAGAAATAACTTTATTCGTTTTTGTAATAGTATTATATTTTTGTTTAAGCTTTGTTTTAAATGTGTTAAAAGAAATGTCGTTATTAAGTTTATTATTTCATACTTTGGGTCCCCTATTTAGAGTAGAGAATTTGGTCGCCGTATAATAGGATTTGGGTTAAATATAGTTCTGATTTGAAAATCTGTTAGAGTAAACATGATTTATTTTGTTAAAAGTGTGTTAAATATTAGAGGTGTTATTTTATTATTAATTTTGTACACAAAAGTAAGTGATAAATGTTTAGTTGATAAACATTGAGTATATTTAGTTTATTTAATAAACCTTTTGAAGGCGTTAAACTAATTCTTTTATGAAGTAATTTGTATAGAATGTTTTTTCAATATAAATAGAATTTTGCCCTGCAATAATTTGATGTAGTGTTTGACGCCTATAAAATAAAAAAATATTTTTGACAGTGTTTATCCATGCTTTTTGCCTTTTGAGATGTGATTTTAAAGTAATTTTTGAACACATTAAACATAACGTTTGAACACATAGAACTTAACGTTAAACAATTTGCCTGCGATTTCGTAAGTTTTGAAGTTGTTCAAAACAGTCAAGGTTAGAATACCTGCGTGACAATTTTTAATTTACGGCATAGATCGAAAGCATGTATTACTGCCGTCAAGCATTTATCATTTTACTGATGGCATATTGAACTGACCCTATATATACTAAAGTAACAAAAATAACTTATCACATGGTGCTGCATTGACCAAGTAGAGGATTTATGCCCGCAAACGATGACAACCTATTGGTAACGTCTAGTATTGGCTCAAAATTTATAAAAGAAACAAAAAGATAAGAGCAGATTATCTAGATTACTGCCATCTGTTAAGAATATATCGGGCCAATACCAAGTACCTACAGTTAAGCTGAACTTAATTTTAACTTAAATTTAAAGTGAATAGTTGTAAAAAACAAAGTCAACCATTGGAAATGTAAAACAGTTATGGCTAAGGTTTTAATGTAAATCTATTTTTTTGGTGTTATTAAATTAGACATCTTTATTGCTGAAATAAGAAGAGAGCCGTTTAATTTTAGTATTGTAGTAAATTATTATTAAAAAGGATATAAACTAATAAAAACTGTGTTGCATTTTTAACAACAAAGTTGTTTTACAAAATTAAAAAAAAAAAATAGTTTGCAGATACTGAAAATACTTATACAGACTTTGTTATACTTAGGGTAAACTGGGGTAAAGTGAACTAGGGGTAAAGTGAACTATTTTTTTAAACTAAAAAGTTATCATGTTTAAAAAACTTTTTGTTAAGTAATTTAGCATTATTTTTGCTTAATACAACATTTTGAAATTTTTTAAATAAAAAAATTAATAAAATATAGCCTTTGTTTTGATGTAATAGCCATTTTAAAAAGCGAGTTTGGCGGAAGTTTTAAAATTACGATCTCAAACTTTGCTATGGGTTTTAGTAAATTCATGATTTGTTGTTATTAATGCGAACATCAGTTATATAATTTATATACATTTTAGATAATATAATGCTGTTAAAAAAAAATTGTAGTTTTTATCATAATATAAAAAAGCTAAGCTTTTAGTTTGTAAATCAATTTAGTTCACTTTACCCCTTATTTTTCTGCCTATTGGGGGTAAAGTGAACTAGTCTTTTTCTTATGTTTTTTCATCAAATATTTTTAGTAGAACTGAATATATAAATTGTAATTACTTAACTAAATTGTTTACTCTTAAAATAAGTTGTTTTTTTTTTAAATATTCTTAAAATTATTTTCAGAAATATAATATATTGAAATAATGCCAAGAAACTACATTAAGAAAAAAGAATCTCGAAGAAAAACATATGCACCTAATTTGTTGCAAAATGCCATTTCCAAAGTTAAAAATAAAGAAATGACTTCGTATGCTGCATCAAAAGAATATGGTGTTCCAAGAAGTACAATTGCAAGACATCTTCTAGGCATAAAATGCTCAAAATTTGGTGAAGGGCGACCAAACCGATTATCTGCTGATGCTGAAAAAGATCTTGTTTCACTTTTATCTGCATTTTCTGATTTTGGATTTGGATTAGATAAAAAACAATTTATGAAACTTGTTCAAACGTATATTGAATTAAACGGATTTCAGAAAAAATTTGTTAATGGTGTTGCTGGTAATCAGTGGTTTTGTAATTTTTTAAATCGTTGGCAGAAAGAAATATCTATAAGAACTCCAGAGCTTTTGACATTAACAAGAGCCTTAGCTTGTAATAAAACTGTAATTGATGCTTGGTTTTTATTACTTAAAGCAACATTGGAAAAATGTGACATTATGAATAGATCTGCCCAAATACTAAACTGCGATGAAAGTGGGTTTTGCACTAACCCAATAAATAAAAAAATTATTTGCAAAAGAGGTATTAAAAACCCTGTATCTATTGCTCCTGGATCAGGAAAAGAACAGTTTACTGTACTAGCAACAATATCAGCTGCAGGAAGAAATTTTCCTCCATTTACTTTATTTGCTGGGAAGAATTTGTATAAAGAGTGGATGACTGGTGGACCAAATGGTTCCTTATATGGGGTGACAAAAAACGGTTGGATGGAAACAGAAGTTTTCACTGAATACTTTAACCATCTTGTTTTATGGTTGAAAGACACACCCAAGCCTGTTTTGCTTATCTTTGATGGTCACATTAGTCATATTTCTTTAGAAACTGTTAAAAAAGCAGTTGAAAATCATATAACTATTTTGTGTTTGCCAGCACACTGTTCGCATTTGCTTCAGCCACTTGATGTAGGAGTCTTTCGCCAAGTTAAACATGTATGGCGTGAAATTCTGGCCAATTGGTATACCGAGTCAAGGCTGAAGGTGGTTGGGAAATCTGTTTTTCCATCTTTATTAAAAAAACTTTATGATACCTCCTTTAAGCCAGCTCATTTAGTACAATCCTTTGCCAAAACTGGAATTTTTCCCTTTGATCCATCTGCTATAGCATCTGACAAGTTAAATCCTTCTGAAATCTATGAACACCCTTTTTCTCAGAAAACAAATAACTATAATAATAACGTCCCTCAAAACATCGTTTTAGACACCA